TGGTGCATAAAGCACCATTGGATGGCAAGGTGGCCAAATGAAATAAAAAGAATAAGAATGCATGTATTTTGATTGGTTTATGAGAGTGGCCAAATGAAAAAAAAAGGAAAAACTTGTGCATGAAATGTGATTGGTTCCAATGGGTGGCTATATAAATGTTAAGTTTCAAGAGAGAAAGAGAAAAGTGAAGAGGACTTTAGAGACACTCGAAGGCAGATCATTTGGAGAAGGAAAGAGAGGAAAGGAAGCTTGAGAGAATTTCACCTGAGAGGAAGAAAAAAGAAGAAAGAAAGGGAGGAAAGGCTCAATTTTGCACAAGATCAAGAGAAACCATGAGGTTTCCTCCCTCATCTTATAGCCTTGTATTATTCTATCAATCAAGTAGTCTTCAATACTCAAGAGAGAAGCCGTGGAGTGTGGATGGAGGTTTAAAGCTCGGTTTTGTAATTCAAGCAAGGGAAGTTAAGGATTTTGGTTTTAGCTTGAGTAATCTTTAAAAATGGGATGGTGACTAAAAGAAATGTCTTGTGGCAGCAAAGATTAGCTTTATTGGGGAGAATATGGTGACATGCACGCTATCCAAAACCGTGGATGCATGATGGATTCAAAGTGAAAGGAAAGTGGTAAGCTTAACACTATGTTTTGAGGCCTACAGTTAGTTGAATATTGTGAGGAAATGATTGTGCAAATGTTGGTAGCTTGGTGAGTGGAACATTGGAAGAACATTGAGGTTGCATGCAAGGTCAAATCCACCACAAAGGTAAGGCATGCAATGTGTAGTGTTTATGTGATGTCTTAGGCTACGGCTAAGAAGCAATTATGTTTGTTGAAAGCTCAAAAAATGTAATATGTGGACATGTGTTGTTGTGAAAGATTTAAAATGTTGAGAATGTTGATATAACATGAATGGACATCGATGTTATGCTTAGTGGTAGCATGCAAATATAAATAGTGGTGCATATAAGCTTAAAGGATGCTTGGTGAAATTATATTTATAGTTGCTGCCGTATGCATGATTAATGGTATGAAAACAATAGGTTGAACATGATAAATGCCATTAGAAAAGATCAATGTGGGCATTGAAGTCATAAACAAATTGCAAGAATTATGTAAACCAAAATTTACGCTAAAGATTAAGTGTAAACGGTTATCTTTTAAGTGCGAATAATAAGTGTAGAATTTATTGGCAGCAAAGCTTATTGATGGTATTGAATTGAAATGATGTTAGGAAGTTGACAAAGCAAGGGTTATTGTTACAAGCACAAAGTGAGTATTCGAGGAAACATCAATGGCGAAGTAATATCCGGCCATCGTGAGGTGAGTAAGGGGTGCCTATTTAAAAATTTCTGTACTACATATTGATTTATGTTAATAAACGTTGTTGGTTTTCTTAAGTGCAATTGTGAATGGCATGAGCTGTTAGCTTTGATAAGCAATTTTAAAACAGATTTACAATGATTTGTATATTGCCATTGTGGAAAGCATGAGCTGGTAGAAACCATAGAAAATTGTGGATGCAAGTGTTTTGAAATTGTCTTGGATATATCTATAGATAAGCTATATATGTAAAGAGATTTAGAAATCGGGAAATAAGTCTTTTTATGATGTTTGCATCAAAATCCGTGCCTTATAGTTATGTGTGATATGCATAGCTAAATGCATTTGTTAAATGATTTAAAATGCAAGTTTTGAGCACTAGTTTTATTCTGATATTTGTACAAAGTGTTTACACCATACTATTTAATGTGAAAAGCAATTTCAAAGGTTGTTGAACCTTATTTTTAAACAATTTAAAGAAAAAGTCTCGAAAAACTTGATTTGATTTTGGAAAATAATTTTAGCAAACTGAAAGTGTCGAGTGTAGGTCAAATGTCACATCGAGATAGTGTGACCCTTGTGCACAAGTGAGATCTAGTTAGAGAATCTTTAGGTCATCGAAGGGCTGTTAGACGTGGTTGGGGCCATGGTCTGTAATTATACGTAGCATGGCCACGGGTTATTATATGTGGCTAGGCGACAAGTTGTGATACGCGATTGCGACTGGTTGATTTTTTTGATATCGGTGAACATCATTGAGATTGCCATGGCTATGGGAATCTAGTGGAGCAGAGCTCCTTGTTTGATATTATGTGGAAGCGAATCCACGAGTGATTATGATGCTTACCTACTCGAAAGCCTTGTGAGTTTTTTGATGCATACTCTTTTGTATGGTGAAGAGTTAAGATTTCTCTGCAACTCTCTTTATTTGAATAAAAGCTTTCAGTGCTTACTTAACAATCATGAGTTGGTTTATATGGTTGTACACTTTGATTTCTTAACATGCCACACATTTAGGAGCGTACATACTTTTATATTGTTATTCATATTTTTATGGCAATTGATGTTTTCGATGATTGAACTCAGTTTTGCTATACTTGTTTTCGGTACCTTTTTTCTAAGTGAAATATTGCATTATGATTTTACGGCATCATTTTTACAAGGCACAAATATTCTACTTGTGATTTGATTTTTCTAAGATTATTATTCTTATTCCAGTTTATCATTCAAATTTATCTACTTTATACCTATTTTCCATCTACGCCCTGCTCACGGAGCCGATGATCACTGAGTCTATGAGACTCACCCCTTAGTTCTCCTTTTGCAAATTGTAATAGGCCTAGCGTGCTTTCATCGACACATATTCTCTATCGTGGATAGGTAAAGGCATCTCATAGCACCTTATTTCAAGTCGCTCCGCTACTAGAAGTCGAGTCCTTTATAACATGATGTAATTGTAAATGGTGTCATTGTAAATGTGGAGTTGGGTATTATAAAACTTAATGGATTCTTACAGATGTGATGAGTAAAAGTTAAGTCAATCTATTATTGCTATTGTTTCAAATCATATCACAAAGGATTATTCGATTCAAAGCATTTACATAGAACGGTGGAACGAGTATAGAATTAATAACAGTCCTTAATAAGGCTTGTTCGGGACTTGACGGGTTCTGCCGAGAGTCTTAGGCACCGGTAGTGATCGAAGAGCAATCATTATAATATGGATGTTGGGATGAACCTTACCACCAATAAAGATTGGTCAAGGCTTAGTTCCAATCATGCAACGGTATCATTCATATTGAATTATTAGAGATTTTTCTTCATCAAGAAGACATTAATTATAATAAGTTATAAGTCTAACTAGATGAAGTCCACGAGATTAATATGCCTTACAAAAGAGCTGTAATGGGTGCAGTTATGGGATCTCTATGCATCAAAGCATAATTTCAAAATGTTTCTGGTCAATGTATCATTGAGACTGGATATCAATGTATCATTGAGACTAGACATCAATGATGCTTAGGGATTAGTAAATTCTATATTGCTTATTTTAGAAGTAAGCAATCGATCTCATAAATTAAAGTATAAAGATACTTAGAACTAGAATATAAGCGTTTACCTAAGAGAGCAAGTTCAATGAACATGACATGTCTTGGTAATACACTTGAGTGTCTATACAAAACTTCTTATGTCTCAGTCGTGTAAATACTCCTTACACTTAAGACACTAGATTATCTTTTACGTGAAATGCTATACTTGAGTGTCTATACACTTGAGTGTCTATACAACACTTCTCATGTCTCAGTCGTGTAAATACTCCTTACACTTAAGACACTAGGTTATCTTTTACGTAAAATGCTATACTTTAATTTCATCTCTAGTTGATGGAGTCTGGAACTCTCTGAATTAATTGAAAAACAATTCTAGATTGATCACAATACTTGGTATAGAGATTCTGTTGTAGTCCGGTTAGAAAGCGTTTAATTTAAGGGATGCTGGAAGCGTTGTGATTGGATTTGGTATAGAGCTTCTGCCTTGGACATGATATGTCCGGTTAGTGACGGTGGAAGTTGAGCTATGTTGCATTTGCAGTATTAACTGATTTCTTTATGTACAGCATGTGCTTACAGATTATTGTGCTTTTGGATGGGATTTATGCCTCCCTAAGATCGAGGGGTTGGGCTGAGATATGTCTAGGAGCGCAACTGGTCCCAATATCCTTAAACTTGCGTCTATTTTATTTTTCTATTTTTTTAATTTGTACCTTATGATCCTTTATATATTGTATAAAGCCCATAGTTATTTTGCTCAAAACAATAAAATTACATATCTTTTAAAAAAAATTATATTAAAATTATCATATGATTAAATGAGTCTATTTATAATCGATATATTATGCTATTCAAATATAAATTCTAATTTAATTACACTATTTTCTTTTTTTATTTGACATCGACTTAAAATTATATAAACCTTAAATTCCTTTTTATGTTTTACAAATATTTAGGTATGTGGTGTTGTTGAAGGCGGTTGTGTTGAGATTGGTTAGTGTCAGAATCCTTTGTCGATACTGGTATCCGAATGGGTGGGCAAATTAGATTCCAAATCATGTAGTGGTGGGACTCCTAATTTTGATAGCTCTCTTGGTTTGATGGGAACGAAATCTAATTTTAATATTGGTTTGTGTCTTTGGAGGAGTCTATCCGCATGACAGTTCAAGAATTACTGGAAATCCATGGTGAATTAAATGGAAGCAGTGAATTAATATATAAAAGGTTGAACTTAGGTATAACTTCCGGAATAGATTAATCAACTTTGTAATCGACAACTTCAATAACCATATTGAGACCAAACAGGTTCGTTTCTTTTCTCCTTTGTTTTCTGTTGATTTGTTTTATATGTACAAAAAAACTATGATATAGATGTAAAATTGTTTATTGTCTTTTCATGAAACCTTCATCCAATTGTCTGTATTGTTTATAAACTTTAAATGAAAAATATATTTTCATACCATGAGAAGGAGGAGGTATAAGAAAAAAGAAAGCTATTAAATTAGTAAAATACATAAACTTTGACATCAATTAGGTTTTGATAATCTGATCTCCATCAATATTGAGTTTGAAAGCAAATTGAGATAGAGACTGATATTGGGGTTTGATAGGAGATTGAGAAAGATGGAGGGAATGGCGACCGAAAGCAGTAACAGGGATTGGCCTGACGATTTATTGATTGAGATTCTCGTGAGGCTGCCTGTCAAGGCTATCATTCGCTTCAAATGCATAGGAAAAACATGGCGCTCTCTGTTTGAAACACCCAGTTTTGTTTCTCAGCATCGTAGCATTAGCAACAAGAATAGTCGCTTTCTTATTTGCCATGCCGGGACGGATGCTAATGCTGGAAAAGTTGTTATGCGCTTGTTTTCTGATCGAACACTTGTTTCCTATCAAGATTTATTTCCACAAATGCCCCAACATATCGGTTATGGGTATCCCGTTATAAATGTCTGTGATGGATTACTTTGTTTATGTAATTCCCAATCTACCATAGCTCTATGGAATCCTGCCACTAGAGAATTCAGACTTCTCCCACAATGTAATGAAAACATCTCACATATTATCGATAATTGTGGACAGATTCTTGGATTTGGATGGGATTCTTTATCAAATGATTACAAAGTTATTTACGTAAGCACTTATCGTGATTTGGAAGAGAATACATATAAACGCCACTATGCAGTCTATAGGATGAGAACAGATTCTTGGAGGGTATTAAAAGGGGAAGATGTTGAGGTCGTTGACAACTTAGGAATTTCTTTTAGGAACAACAACACCTGTGTAAATGGTGTTTATTATTGGACAGCATTCAATCTTCATCACAAGGTCCTTGCATTTCACTTTGGCAACGAAGTTTTTGAATTGATAGATTGGCCAACTGTTCCTGAACCTCGATATACAGATGGGGAATTGTGTGGACTACCTGACGATCGCATCTCTTTATGGATTTCTAATTTTGATGAGAGCGGCACAAGTAATGATGTTTGGGTGTTGAACAATGAGGGGCAGTATTGGACCAAACTATTCCGTATTGGACCTTTTGCAGGAGTTTTTAGGATGTTCGGGTTTTTCAACAAAAAGATTAAGGATGGTGTTAAGGTATTTGTAGAAGCTATAAATGGACAATTATTGCTTTACGACCTTGATACTCAAGAATTCAAAGATCTCAATATTATATTAAGCACAGTTTGGCATCTTCTTGAGGTTTACAGTTATGAGGAGAGTCTTGCTGCTGTCAACAAAGATCGCATCCAGTAGCAAGGAGCCAAATATTAGTGATGAAGTAGTAGTTGATGAGGGCTGGAAGAACGATTTTACTTTTCAGACTTTAGATATCTCTATATCTTTTTTCTTTATTCTGAAAGTATTAGTAATTGACTTAAATATTCTTTATCAAGCTTATTTAAAATTAATAATTTTTCCTTCAAGTTAGAAATTTATTAGTTTATTAATTAGAATCCTAACCTAATAAAATAATGATTAGATAATATAGAATTTGTTGGTCATAATTAATTGGTTATTATTAGATCAAAATTTAAGGAAATGTTTGTTTTGACGTGATTTAATTTCTTAATGAGAAACATTTGTGTGAGCTACAAATTTAGCTTAACTTGGTTTCAATTCTTGAATCTCAGGTCGCTAAGCAACTCGCCAGTATTTCCTTTTCTTTTGGCCAAAAAAATCGCATCATTAAAATCACCACGTCAGTCCAGTCCAAATATGCAACTAAGGACATTTAAGGCTTAAAGATACTGAGAAACAATCATACACCAACAATTAAGTCATCATGTTGAACCATCCCCATTTGTGAATCAAAGGTTTACGTTAAATTAAGATGAGATAAACCTTAAATTCCGTTTAATGTTTTATGCTACATTGGATGAACTTCAAATATTTGACTATTTCTTTCATGTTTTTAAGTTCTTTGCTGAAACCTAAATTGAAAATTTTGGTAAGGGGATTTTAGGTTTTTGTTGAAAAATAAAAATTCAAACCAAAATCTGCATTCTTAAACTCTAAGAGAGAGAAAATGCTGAAACTATAAGAATGAGAGATTGACAAGAAATTGTTGAAACCCTAAGAAGGAGAGATTGAAGAATTTGGTTAGGGGATTTTAGGTTGTTGTTAAAAGAATAGGAATTCAAATATGTAGAAATCACTTAAAAAGTATATCATTAAATTCAATAAATAAAAATTACTTCAAAATCATCGATTATCCTATTGTTGCCAAAATTAATTTTAACAGAAGAAAGAGAAGAGGAGGAGAAGATGATGGAGTTGGAGAAAGATATAGGAGAACAGGAAAAAAGAAGAATGGTTGGGTGGAAGTGGGAGAGAGAAAACAATTTATTTTTTATTTATTTGTAATAAAAGTTATTAATATTTAATTTTAAATTTCTAAAAAAAATTTTATCTCATTAATGAGATGCAATATTTGGTGATTGACAGTATATAACTTCTATAAAATTGTCCTTATATCAAATATAAACCGATAATTTAATTGGACTATTTTCTTTTTTTCTTTTTGGTATTGACTTAAAATTAGATCAACTGTTTTATGATAAATTGGATGGATTTCAAATATTTGACTATTTAATATCAATTATAACTATTTTAATTTAATTAAGTGATTTGAATTTAGATCGTGAAATTAATGAGTCAAATTTGACAAAATTATTAACTATTCATGAAGCTTTTCTTGTCTTTGTTTCTTGTGTGTAATTTAATTCTACCAAATTATGGGTTGAGAGTGGCTCTATTAAAACGGTATTGTGGTCTGCTTGTCATGAAGATTCTCCGTGGAAATATAGACAGCTGATTATCAAGATGGAGCAGTTGCGAGAAAAGAATTAATCATTGGAGAATTACACGCGTATTGGGTGAGGCCAATAGTGTTGCTGATGTTCTTGCAAAGGAGGGGATTCAAAGGAGAATGGGTTATTTGAAGCTTATGAGTAGGAGCCTGATGATGCTGAGGTGGATTATAGGTGGCGGCTGATTTAAAGCATGAAAAGAGGTGGAAAATTGATGCAATCCTGTAATAGTCCTTAATGGTACCAATGTGTTTGAATTTAATTTTAAATTGACGAATTATGTGAGTTAATTTTGACAGCATTGACAAAACTATGGAGGTTATATTCAAATTTAATACCGTCTAATTTTGGACATATCTTGTCCAGATTGGATGGTGTTGTAAAGTAATATCTCCATGGAATTGATTGCTGTGCTGGGAACTATTATTGTGGTTTTGCATAGTAATGCTGCGGTTCAGACAGTACCATGACAGGGTTAAATTAATTTTGAACAACCAAAGCCCAAATAGATATCTTAGAGTAATAATGTGAAAAATTAAGCAACATTTATATGTATTAATGAAGCATAAAAAAGAGCCACTAATTTTTTTGTTTTTTTTGCATTTGATAAATTTATTCATAGTATGTATTAAGGATTTACATAATTAACAAAAGAAAACTTTCAAGCATAAGTAATTTTCTGCGAATTACAAGTATTGGCATATACTTCCATAGGATTGTTGCAGTCTAAACAATTTAGACCCATGATGTCCACACAAATGGCAACTTCTGATAAGAAGGAGGTTCCGTTGAACAAGTTTACACATCGAAGAATAACACTTTTTCTTCCCACCTGGTTTTGTATTATGTTTCTGATATAATTTATATTGTATGATGTTGCCCTTATTATATTATTATTTATAAAGGCATTATTCAAATCAATTGAAAAAAATAGTTGTATTGTCGTCGAAAAATACCAAAGTAGGGTTTGGCTATGGCAGCTCCCATAAACTTGCCACTCGTGATCCCACAACGCCATATTGTTAGCTAGGGAAAGAGTAGGCCACAACCTCTCCATGTTCCTTGTGGTCGAAAACGTTGAATCTGTAATTAAATATAAAAAATTAGAATGATCCTAACATATTTTTAGGATAGAATTCAAGTAACCAGAAAACAAAATGTTCTAATAATTAAACATTGCGTTATTAACAAAATCAACAATTTAAAATAAATTACAAATATATTCAGATTTTGTATGCTTAAATGTAATCAGTCACATTAAACATGTTTTGATATGCGTGCAATAGAGTAGTGTGGAGGTAGAGCCGTAGAGCCAGCACTATCCACCGGCCACAGTCCATGCACAACGACTTCCTCGTTAAGATATCGTAACGGTATGTGCAGTATCCCCGTGGAAATGTTAAAACTATCCATAAATGGTCCTGAGCAGAGATAAACTGAATTAATAAAACTATAACAACCAAAACCACCTAAACGTTCATGTTTGAATGCTAAAAGATTGCCTCAGAGAATGCTAAGCAGAAGTGTGTAAGAGAATGCTTAGTGTAAGAGATTGCACGAAAAGATTGTGTGAAATGAATTCACCCTATTTGCAAACTATGTAATGACTTCATCTTTCCATTTATATAACTATTTGCAAACTATGTAATGAATTCACCCTCTTTGCATGTATGTCCTAATATATTTAACTCAATTTTGCATGACTCAACCAGGGGCGGAGGGTAAGCCAACACGGGCTCCCCAAAATTTTTAAAAATATTTATTTCTTATATACATTTTATCAATGGCCCTCTTAAAATTTTTGAAAATTTTTATTTATTATATATTATTAATAGTCCACTCAAAATAAATTTTTTATTTAATAATTAATAAAAAAATAAAATAACCTCACAAATCTACTTAATTTTACTCTAATTTAAGTTTCTTTACACCTCTTTCTCTTTTTTCTTTTTCTTTTTCTCTTTTCTTTTCTGTCTTTTTATATTTATTTCTCTTTTCTAGTAACTCACCATAGAAACACACTTTACTCTTCAAAAGAGATTTATGAACTTGTGAGTTTGAAAACGGAAAGACAGAGATCACTCACCACCATTGTGTAAAATTAAGAGAGAGTAAAGCTTTCTTTTACCTTTTTCTTTCTATTTATATTATTTAACTATTATGTGAAATCCTGTATTTCATATTTATTATTTATATTTTATTTTTTATATTTTATGTTTTATTTTTTAAGTTTAAATATAAATAAATAAGAATATTGAATGTTGACTACATTATTTTTTTTTTTAGGTTTGATTAAAATATGAGTAAGTTGAAAACAATTGACAAATTTTTTAAAAGAAAAGAGGTAGATCGCTCAAATGATTCTCCTACACTTGAGCCACCAAACCTTAATACTTCAACTCATGAACAAGAGTAGTATGAATCAAAACGTCCAAGGCTCAATCCTGAAAAAATTGATGCTTTTCATATAGAACCGGATCTTGGATTACAACCAATGATATGGAAATTTCCTATCAATCAAAGGGATGAAATTCGTCGTGCTTATCTCAAACATGAGCCATGTCAACCCATTCTTAAGACGTATCCTTTATTAGATGATGATCATCCTCCTCATTTTCAAGCTTCTTGGTTTGAATTATATCCTTCTTGGTTGGAGTATTCTTGTGACAAAGATGCTATATTTTGTTTGCCATGCTACCTGTTTGGTAAGAACACTTCAAATCATCCAAGTTCAAATGCATTTATTGAAAAGGGTTTCAAAACTTGGAAGAAAGTCAATAGTGGAGAAAATTGTCCACTTTTGAATCATGTTTGGAAAAATCCAAATTTCCCACATAATGTTGCTGTAAAAAATCTTGTGAGGGTTTATTGAAAAAATCCCAACATATTGATAGGCTTATCAAAAGACAAGCATCAAAAGAGATCTTGAATAATTGGCTTAGGCTCAAAGCTTTGATAGATTGTGTTAGATGGTTAACCTTTTAAGCTTGTGCATTAGAGGTCATGATGAAAGTCCTTCTTCAAAAAATAGAGGAAATTTCATTGAAATGCTAAAATTCTTAGGATCTTACAATGATAAAGTTCATAAGCTTGTCTTGGAAAATGCTCCAAGGGTTGCTAAGTATACATCCAATGATGTTCAGAAGGAGATTTTGCATATTTTAGCTAATATGGTGAGAAATTCAATTAGAGATGAAGTGGAAAATGCTAAGTTTTGTATTATTATTATTGATGAAGCTCAAGATGAGTCTAAAAAAGAGCAAATGGTTATTATTTTGAGATTGGTTGATGGTGATGGTTTTGTTCAAAAATGTTTCTTTGATCTTGTATATGTCAGTGATACTAGTGCAATGACTTTGAACAAAGAGTTAGTGTTTGTTCTTTCTCGTTATAACCTTCAAGTTGAAAGTATTCGAAGTCAAGGATATGATGGTGCTAGTAACA